GTAAAAACATGCAATATGTGTGTGAATATATATATAGGATATATATATATAGGATATATATATATATAGGATATATATATAGGATATATATATATTCACACACATATTGCATATGTTTTTACATACATATATATATCCTATATATATATCCTATATATATATATTCACACACATATTGCATATGTTTTTACATACATACACTGTTTCTTTGCTTTAAAATGTTGAAATTGTGTGTTAGCTTTGAAACATGCTTTTCGCATTCTATAATCTATGTCTTCATATTTTCCTCTTAGAAGTAGATTTTTACTCACTTTAACTTCTACATAATATTTCTTAGGATGACTGTACCAAAATTTAGCCCCCTTTTTTTGGATGCAGGGTCTATTGATAGGCATCTTGTTTTCAATTTTTCTTTATTTCCAAACTATACTACAGTGAATATTCTTCTGCATGTACCTCTCCCTAAAAGTATATACTAAGTTGTAGAGTACCCGTAAAGCTTGAAAAGATGTTTTCTTCCTTATATCTACTACTAAGGTATATATGAGTACTTAGAGTTTGCTCATGCTCAATCGAATGTATATACTGCTAAGTTTTGTAACTATATTTATGTTAACTTTAGGCTTACTCAGGATATAGTTAGAGAATTCATTGGTTTGGAAAATAAAGTACATGTAAGGTACATGTAAGAACAGATTTCTTTAAGCTAGCTAATGATGTGTGGGCTTCATTGTTTTCCATGTAATTGTGCGATTTCACAGAAGGATGTTATTTTGAAAGTAATGCTGCAGGTTGCAGTTAAATTCATAGTTAAGATTTTTAAAAATATTTCATAACGTACATGTTTGCCTCTGTACAACAAATATCTATGCTCTTCACTCATGCTACCTCTAAGATTACTTCCTAAAAGTGGAATTACCAGATTAAGGAGGAGAAACATTTTTAGGGCTTTTGAAACATATTGCCAAACTGTCCATCAGAAAAAGACTCTGCCAGGAGGTGATGATTTAATGCCCATTTCTCTGAATGCTGGCACTGTAATTTTTACTTACTAAAGAAGTTGAACATGTTCTTCCTATAAGTTTACTGACCCACTTGTATGCCTTTTGCGAAATTCCCTTTATTATTATGTTGGCTGACCATTTTGTTTTTAAAAATAATTTATAAAAGCAGCTTATAGTGGTTAATCTTTGTTATAAATTATTTTTTTTATTGTGCTTTGTGTATTTATAAGTGTGCTTATTGCTGAGGGGGGAGAGAGAATATTTTTGTTTTGTTTTTGTGTTTATGCATATGCTTTACCAGTCTAATTTGATAAATATGTACTTCTATTTTCTATATTTATATATATTTTTTTACTTTCGTGTTTGGTATGAGGTAGATTTGGTTTTCTTACAATTATAATCTTTTAAAAATAGATTGCATAGAATTATATGCACGTATGAGAGAGTGCGTGAGAAAAAGATTCTTGTATAGGTAAAATAAAAATACTGCTATCTAAAGGGGTTAATATCCAGAATTTATAAAAAACTTATACAACTCAACAACAACAAAAAACAGACAATCCAATTAAAAAATGGGCAGAAGACCTGAACAGATACTTCTCCAAAGAGGAAATACAGATGACTAACAGACATATGAAAAGATGCTCAAGGTCACTAATCGTCAGAGAAATGCAAATTAAAAGTGCAATGAGATTTCACCTCACACCTGTCAGAATGGCTATCATCAGTACATCGAAAAACAGCAAGTGTTGGCGAGATTGCAGAGAAAAGGGAACCCTCATACATTGTTGGTGGGATTGCAAATTAGTACAGCCGCTATGGAAAACAGTATGGAGGTTTCTCAAAAACTTAAAAATGAATATACCTTCTGACCCAGAAATTGCACTTCTGGGTATTTCTCCAAAGAAAACCAAAACAATAATTCGTAAAGATCTATGCACTCCAGTATTCATGGCAGCACAATTTACAATAGCCAAGATATGGAAGCAACCTAAATGCCCATCAACAGACGATTAGATAAAGAAATTATGGTTCATATATACAATGGAATATTACTCAGCCATTAAAAAAATGAAATCCTACCATTTGCAATGACAACAAAAAGAACAAACTAATCAAAAACAGACTCACAAATATAGTGGACAATTTGGTAACAGAGGGGAAGGGGATTGGGGGCTGGGAAAATGGGGTGAAGGATTAAAGAAGTACAAATTAGTAGTTGATAGCTGGGCACGAGGATCAGAAGCACGGCACAGGGAATGCAGTTAGCATTAATATGATGGCTAAGTGGAGGGCCAAGAGAAGGAGGGAGCAGTTGGGGGGATCGTTTTATGAACAATATAGACATCTAATCAATGTACTGTATACTTGAAACTAATTTAAATAAATTTATTTTTTAAAAATACTGCTATCTAATAGACTAATTTTCAGTTAGAATTTGAAAAGGCTGCTACAAATTAACTGAATAAGAAAACCAGACTCATTTAGCTGAACAACTTTAGCTTTTCATGTTGACTTCACTTAAACAACTGTATCTTTAGAGATACAGTGTTCAGCTAACATTGGGTAACAAATGGACAAATCAATATTCAGAGTTTGAAATTTTCTTTTTTTATTTGTTTATTGTGATAAAATACACACAAAATTTACCAGCTCAACAATTTTTAAGTGTACAGTTCAATGGTATTAAATACATTCACATTGTTATGCAACCATCCTCATCTATTTTCATCTCATAAAACTGAAACTCTGTGCCTTTAAACAATAGCTCACAGTTCTGTCCTCCTCCCAGCATCTGGCAACTATCATTATACTTCCCATCTTTATGATTTTGACTACCTCATATAAGTAGAGTTATACAATATTTACCTTTTTGTGACTGGCTCATTTTATTTAGCATAATGTTCTCAAGGTTCATCCATGTTGTAACATACCTGCATATTTCCTTCTTTAAGGTTGAGTAATATTCCATTGCATGTATATACCATGTTTTGCTTATCCATTCATCTGTTGATGGGTACTTAGATTTCTTCAATGTTTTAGCTATTGTGAATAATGCCGCTGTGAACACAGGTGTACAAATTTCTCTTTAAGACCGTGTTTAAAATTCTTTTTGGTGTATACCCAGAAATAGAATTTCTGGATAATGTGGCAGTTGTATTTTAATATTTTGAGGAACCACCATACTAATTTCCACAGTAGTTGTGCCATTTTATATTTCCACCAACAATGCACAAAAGTTTCAGTTTCTCTACATCCTCACCAATTCTCGTTTTCTGTGTGTGTGTGTGTGTGTTTATAGTAGCCATCCTAAGGGATGTGGATGGTATCCCATTGTAGTTTCGATTTGTGTTTCGCAAATGATTATGAGGTCATTGACCATTCGTATATCTTCTTTGGAGAAATGTCTATTCAAGCCCCTTGTCCATTTTGGTTTTTTGCTTGTCGTCATTTTAGGAGTTCTCTATATAATAATCTTTTATCAGATAATATGATTTGCAAGTATTTTCTCCCATTCCATGGGTTGCCTTTTTAATCTGGGGATAGTGTCTTTTGAGGTACACATTTTCTAAATTTTTATGAAGTAGAATTTATCTTTTTGTCATTGTTTTTACCTATGCTTTCTGTGTCATATCCCAGCAGTCATGGCCAAATGCAGTTTTCTTCTAAGACTTTTATTGTTTTAGGTTATGCTTAGATCCGTGATCCATTTTGAGTTAAGTTTTGTATGTGCTGTTAAATAAGGGTCCAGCTTCATTCTTTTGCATATGGATGTCCACTTTTTCCAGCACCATTTGTTGAAAAAATTGTCTTTTTCCAATTGAATGGCTTGGCACACTAGTCAAAAATAATTTGAGCATATATGTGAGGGTTTATTTTGGACTTTCTATTCTAGTCCATTGGTCTTTATAGTCTGTCTTTATGCCAGTACCAAATGGTTTTGATTACTGCAGCCTTCTATTAAGTTTTGACAGGAGGAGGTGAGAGTTCTCCAGCTTTGTTCTTTTTCATGATTATTTTGGCTAGTAAGATCTCTTGAGATTCCACATGACTTTTCAGATGAATTTTTCTCTTGTTACAAAAAAAAATCATTGAGATTTTGATAGGGATTGTATTGAATCTATAAATTTGTTTGAGTAGTATTGACATCTTAACAATATTAAGTCTTCTAATCAATGAGCATGGTATATGTTCCATTTATTTCTGTCATCTTTAATTTCTTTCTGCAGTTTTATAGTTTTCATTGTACAAGCCTTTCACCTCATTCGTTAAGTTCAATCTCTATTTTATTTTTATGCTATTAGCATTGTTTTTGTAATTTTTTTTTCAGATCATGTATAGAAATGCAACTAATTTTTATGTGTTGACTTTGTATCCTACTACTATGCTGAATTCATTAGTTCTAACAGCTTTTTTGCTGAGTCTAGGATTTTCTACATAGTTTGATATCATCTGCAAACAGTTAATTTTACTTCTTCCTTTTTATTTTGGATGCCTTTCACTTCTTTTTCTTGCCTTATTGTTCTGGCTATGACTTCCATTACTAGGTTAAATTGAAGTGGTGAAATTGACCAAAATTAACCTCAGTTTACCATCCAAATTTTCCCTGGAAGTTACAGACCTTTTTAACAGACTCAAGAGATCTAAAATAGTCACATCAGATAGATTCTGTTTGTGCAGTTGTTGTGTAGGTGGGCAGATTCCTCGTGCTTCCTGTTTGCCCACTTTCCAGAATCTGAATTAATTAATCTAATTAATAAATTAATCTAATAATCTAAAAATTAATCTAATAAGTTAATCTAATAATTTAATTAAAGTATATTGGCATGACTTTAAAATGGAGGTCTGTTTCCCTCAGACTTTGTGTTAAGTCATAAAATACATTTCATTTAATTAAATATTATTATTTGGCTAGTTATGAAAACCATGATTTGAATTGAACTCACTTTGCTTTTCAAGGCTTCTTCATATTTAACAATTTTCTTTGCTTTACAGAAATATCGATATCAGGATGAAGATACACCTCCCCAAGAGCACATTTCCCCACAAATCACTAATGAGGTGATAGGTCCAGAATTGGTTCATGTCTCAGAGAAAAACCTGTCAGAAATTGAGAATGTCCATGGATTTGTTTCTCATTCTCACATTTCACCAATAAAGGTGAGGTAATAACTTACTATTGTTGCTATGAATTATATATTACTTTTGTTACTAGTATAGCTCCTGCTCAACTGTTCTTTCATGTAGGATTTTTCACCCTTGATTGTTTCTGGTTTCATAGTTGTAGAGAATTTTATAATATTTATTAGCATTCTAAAAACATCTTTAAAGATATATTTTATAAATGAATTTTAATCAGTGGTACAGTCTTTAAGCCTAAAAATTCCTACGAAGGAAGTAACTATTATATTTCACATACTACACATGGAAATATATTTAAACACTTGTTTTAAGTATCAATAGGTACAGAGAAAGAGCATTAATATCTTTGTAGTCCAATATGTGGCTTTACCTGATCTCATTACTTTGTCTCTCACCTCAGAAATAACCACAATCCTAGTTTCTTATAAAGTTCTACCACATATTTAGACCTCTAACCAATATATTGTTTATTTTGTCTATCCTAAACTTTATATAAATGGAATTATACCACATATAATCTCAACTTGCATTTTTTGCTCAACATTACATATATTCCTGAGATTTGCTCTGGAGTTTTCATTTTATGAATATACTATAATTTATCTTACTTTTGATGGACATTGAGATGTTTTCAGATTATTACTAGTATAAAAAGTGCTGTTAAAAACAAAGGTTATGTATACACATCTTTATGGATAACACCAGATTATTTTCCAAGTGGTTGTATAGTTTACATATTCAGCAACAATTTATAACAGTTTTAATTGATCCATATTCTCATCAATACTTGGTATTCTTATTTGTGCTATTGTTTGGAGATTTATAATAGTATCTCATTGTAATTTTAATGTGCAATTCTTTGTTTGATATTGAAGTTAAATATATTTATTGCTCATCAGGTTTCCTATTTTGTGACATGCTTTCTCAAGGTTTTTGCTTTTTATATTAGGTTGTCCTTTTTACTGATTTGTACAAGTTCTTTATATATTCTAGATACTTTGTTGATTGTATGTATTCTGACTAAGGACCATTTCTTACTAGAAAAACTTAACCTGGGTTTTGTAATTTTCTTTGAGGGATCATTTCATATTCTTGTTAAAAATTTTGATGGTTATAGTACCATTCAGATTTTCTATTAACAGTTTTGCTAGGCCATCTTTTTCTAGGAATTTGTTTCATATTTATTTCAAAATATTATTCTTAATATTATGTTATTTTTTTTGATGTCTACAATTAGTTGTGGATGCTTTTCATTCCTAATATTGTTTATTTGTATATTCTTTTCCAACAGATAGTCAGTTTCATAGGTGTTTTAAAAGAACCATCTTTTAAAAATTTTCTCTTGTATCTCTCTGTGCTGCCACCTCCACCCCCTTGTTTTCAAACTCACATACATATGTATACATGTTTATGTACAAATGTAAATATAAATGTGTGGATAGCCCACGTACCATTAAAGATTGTGTTTGGTAGAAGTAATCTGATCTTCCCTTGGGAGACTAACTGAGAGATACACAAGAGGAAAAAAATATCAGTTGGCTGTTGGTAACAGAGTCAGTTCTCCTTTTATCTTTTCCTCCTCTTTTGTTATTATCATTTATCTCTTATGCTTTCTTTGAGTCTATTCTGTTTGGTTTTTTGTTCTAGTTTCTCAAGTTGGTTTATTATCAGTCTTTTCTAATAGTATTTAAGTTTGTAAATTTCTCTTTAAATGACATGTTAGCTGTATTCATCTAAGTTTTAATATGTCATTTTTTTATCATTCTAGCATTTTATTTTATTTTCATTCTGATTTTTTTCTTTGCCCCATGAGTTATTTTGAAGTATGTTTCTTGATTTTTAAACATAGGAGACCTTTATTTCTCTCATGTCTTCTTTTAGATTATATTTTCTCATCTCATTTTTCCTTTTGATTAGCTTGGAAGTTATTTATTCTATTTCTCTTCCTTTAATGGTTATCCTAGAAATTTTAATATACATATTTAACTGTAAAAAAACTTAAGTCAAATATCTTTTACCTTCATTTTAAACAACATTTGAACCTTCGAACACTTGAATTCTAAGCACTCGCTCTAGCTTTATATGCTGTTCTTATCAGCCTACAAATATTTTCTCTTGACTAAAATAATGTAATTTCTTACTTTAGTAGGGAAAACCCTGCCAGGTATGTATAACTCTTTGTTTCTGATGCTTTGAATTTCTATTTCATTCTGATTGTTACAAACTATCCAAAACCAATTTGCTCATACCCTACTCCTTAGTGGTTTTGTAGGTGTTTTGGTAGTTACTTCCATGTAACTACCAAATTCTGACACAACCAAACATTTAAACAGTGAGCCAGTACGCATAAAGTATTTTATATAGTCTTTTCTTTAAATATGATAGAGCCTCGGCTCTCTGCTTTTGCATAAAATGTTCACTCTAGGCAATAAAATAGTATTCCAGAGACAAGATTTTATAACCCAGAATTTCCAGACATTTTAGGGATTAAACCTAAAGTGCCAT